ACAAAAAAAACAAAAGAAAAAAAAACAAACAAACCTAGCAAAAAAAAAACCCGAAACAGCCCAACCAAAAAAGCAAAACCAAAACAACTTAAAACCCCCACGAAAAACTAAAAACGACAGAAAAACCCCACATACAAACAAAAACATACAAAAAAACCCTGCAACAACTGGTTCTTTTGGTGTTTTTTGGTGGTTCTTTTCGGTTGTTCGCTGGTACTCGGCTCCCAGCGGGTGTTGCCTCGCCCGAGGGTGTGAGCCACTGGCTACTGAAGCCGTAATAATATAAAGAACGCCTTAATGAGGCTGTTTATTAATTAGGGCCCTCTTACTGTTAGTTCTAGTGTTGTATAGGGAGAGCCCAGACTGTTCTGTTGAATTTTGGCTCCTGTGCTACGTTTTCTCCTTTTAGAGCTATTCATCTTTTCTGTAGCTGCACCTGCCCAAGAATTTCCTTTTTTTTTTTTCCTCCAGGAGCCTTTTTTGTTTGTTTTGCTTTGCTTTGTTTTGTTTGTGTTTGCTTTGTTTTGTCTGTTTGTTATTCCCTTGACAACAACTTCTTGTTGTTGAGGGGATAACCTTTGATGCTGCGAGAGCTCAGTAAAATGAAGGCGTCACTGTAGAATTTTCACAGTGATGAAACTCCTGAAGTGTTATGAGGAACCTGTTCCTCCTTATAAATATGGTTTTATAAACCACCCACCTTCCCAATGTGGTGACTTGGTTTTGGGGTCTGTTTCATTCTCTTGTGTTTCAGCACCAAATTCATGCTATTCTGCTGAGTGTGGGACAGTTTTGCTTTTTCCTTTGGTGAGGGTAAACATATTTTTTTTCCCCTCTCTAAAATGACATTTTGAGGTAACATTTGAGATACTTTTTGCAGCTGCTGTGGGAGCATGTGCATGTATAAAATGCATTTATCCCATGGAATTGAGGCAGTGATTTACTGAAGCAGAGGACTTGAAGCTGAGACCTACAACAATCCACTGAAAATGCTGTTTATGTCTTCTACAGAGCAGTGGTAGATTTGGTCACTGTAAATTGACAGATCTCTGTGAAATCGTGGTTTCAGATTCATAATCACCAAAATTTACCTGGGATGTTACCTGCACGAGCAGGTGTAAGTTTGAAGTGGGTTCTCTCATCTGACTTTTTTGTGTCCTGTGGACTTCAGGCAATGTGTTGATTCTGAATTTGTTCTGATGTTTCTCTAGATCGTTTAGTGCCTGTAAAGGTTCATTCAGTTGCAGATTTAACCATCTGTCTAACAGGTAGTCAGCATCTTGCTATGTGCTCATTTTCTCATAGCATGTTCATACATTTTATTCCCGTTACTGAATTAAATTCACTGAGGTTGTTTTCCTTCCATCACATGTCAAGGTTTTGGATTTAAAAAAAATCATTAAGTGCATAAAGACAATTCTAAAAATAGCCTTATTACCTAGGATAGCTTCACTTTGAAGTGTTTGAATGATGTTACATTGAAGTATGTTTGTAAAGAGAAATAAGTTTTTAGTATAATCACTGACCATTACAGCCTTTGATGGTCAACATGACTGAAGACTTTAAAGGCAGTAATACTTTTGAACTATTTTTTTTGTGTGTGTGTGTGTCAGAAATAGAAGGCAAAAACTGGGTTGTTTTGCCTGCTTGGACTCACTTCTGGACGCTCAGTGTGATCTAGAAACTCAAATTGAAAATATTCTGTAAGGTCCAGGGAGACTCCTGGTGTCAGTCCTTGTTCACACCATAGCCAACCTGCTTTCAGGTGGTCATCTAGCTTCCTCTAGTGTAGTTTTGTTTGCAAACATGCCCTTTTATTATCGATTTATTAATATTTCTTTCTACTTTTATAGTTTCTGCTGAATTCCCACCTGAAACCCATTGCAGATTTTTCCAAATATTGCTCTTTATTTACCCTAGACATTTAATTTCCAAGTGAGGTTTCCAACAGTCTCAGCTATTCAAAAGGGAATTTTCACTGATCATGTGCCATATTGAAATTATTTCAGGTGAACAATTTGCTGTGGTGGGAAAAATGCCATTTAAAGATTTTGTGGGAGCCTTGGTGGTGTAATTCAAAAGATTGGTGCAACTAGCCTGGAAGTGTCTTCTGTGTGACAGGCATAGGATATTGATTGGAAAATCAGCTTTCAGATGGTGTTGTTCCAATTTCCCTTGTTCTTTTTGTCCCTCCTAATTAATATCTTGTCATGGAAAAGCAGCTCTGAGGAGCTGGGACAACTTGTTTGGTTTTGTCTGCAGGAATGGGCTGGGTGGACAAAATAAAAAAAAAAAAATAGATCATAAATTTAAACAACTACATCGATCTACATAGCAATATTCAGATATTTAAATAAAAACTCAGGATGAATACTGTTTTTTTTTTGTTGCTGTTAGGTCCCTTAAGAACAGTGTTCATGGTTGTGGCTGTGTGTCCTGCTATTGAGAAATATTTTAGTGGTGAAAGGCTTATATACTGTTCAGTTGAGTAGTAGAGCACACCAAGGAATTTGTGTCTATAATGAAAGGTAAAAAAAGGTTTAACTTTCTAGGCTGTTTCCAGATGCAGGAAGAATTACCACGGAGCAATGACAATTGCATGTGGAAGCCTTGGTTTTTATCTCCTGTGTGTTTTACCTTTCATCAGGAGGTGAATTGTAGGAAATGGTTTTAAAAATATCACTGGTGGGTGGCTGACATGACAGGTACATCTGTATAAATAAGTTTCTGTGCTTAACACGTCCATGTGTGTATATGAGGTGAAAAAAACATTTGAAAATAAACTATAAATGCAGTCAGCTGGGCTTTTTTGAGAAATGCTTGTTTGAGTGACTGGCAAAAAGCTGATACTGCTTTTCTTTTCTTTGGCTTGTATGTGGTGCCCACATCTGTCGTTCCCAGTATCTTCAAACACAGGCATGAATGCTTATAAACTTATTTGTATTTTTGCTACTGCTACAGATTTGCTCTGCTCTCAGTCTGGAGTAGAGAGGCAGTGGAACACCAGGGGTGTGCGTTCTGGAGGCAAACCTGGCTTGGGTAGGTGGTGTTCTGTGTGCTGACACTGGTAATTAGAGCATGGTATTTTTGTTTGCTAACACCATTTTGAAGGAAATAAAAACCCCAAAAAACAAACCCAACCCATCTACATTTTGGTTTGGCTCTTCTTCATTTCTCTGCCTCTGCCTGTCACCTACTGGAAGTGCACATACTCACTGTAGTAGGATGGATCACAATAGCTGTGAAATGCTTGGAGTTTGCAGCTGTTTTGAGCAGGAATGAACCTCGTTCTTTGTGTCAGGGGTGCTTTAGCCTGGTATTCTAATTATACATTAATAGAAAGTCAGTGCACAGGGTGATGTGTGGCGTGTTCCTACTGCAGTGGTAATTCCTGCACCTTAAAATTCCTGCTTTCTGTGACAGGTTTAATGTGTATACAACTGATGGGCTGATGCAAGGGATATTCTATCACTTAGCAAGGTACTCCAGATTGTAAAAACACCCAAGGTGAGGTGGCCTTGCTGTAGAAGTAGTGATGCTGTGCCTGAAATGTGTGACCACAGTGCCTTTCTGGAACAGACAATCCCTGCTGCCGGTGTGCAGCAACACTGGGTGTCTCTGTTTTGACCAAAAGCAATCCATTTCTGTATAGAAGAGATAATTTAGGTGGCTTTCTATGCTGCACATTGGCTTCAATTAAGCAGTATAGCAAATATTTGTGCTGTGTGTTCTTGGGTGTGCTGTGGGCCTTGCAGGGTCACTTGCTGTTTTGTCTCAATGCCTGTTTCTGATGTGCTCGTTATCTTGCAGTGCCACTTGAGGATGAGAAATTTTAATCCCTAACTCTTGTCACCTAGGGCTTAGCAGGAGGTGGAGAATGTTTTTCAGGGGTTACATTAGAGCTTGGGAGCCCCAGATGAAAAAGCAGCACACGTCCTTGAGTAAGTGGAACCACCCAGAGCTGAGGGTCAGATTTTCAAGGACTCAAAACCATTATCTGATTCTTCAAGGTTAGTAGGCTGCAGCTGTGATTTCTTCACTGTTACATTTGGCAGACATGTAGTGTAGTGCTTGCTGGTGTTGTGGAGAGCACATAAAATCATGTGCATAAATTCTCAACCAACATCACTAAATAACCAAAATTCCAATTTAGACAGCTGTTGTAAAATAACATTAAATTGTTAGTGAAATTATTTATTTTTCCACCCAAAATGAATATTTTCTCTAGTTGTATCCCTGACTTGAGCTG